AAATGACATCCTCTAAAGGACAGATGCGCTGGGGTGTGTGCCGCTGGCGGGACGGGCCCGGACGTGAAGCTTCTGGACAATCTCCAAGCTCAGGAACTGCCTAACTGGCAGAAAAAAATAACATAATCACATGTCTGGTTTGAATCATTTCCTCTCCAGTTTGGTGGAATCATGTCACAGTTTCCCTCTAACTAGAAAAAATATTACGCAAACCCAGCTATTTGCCAAGAGAAGCTGTTTTAGGCAAGGAAATGCCTCCCTGTGCAAAGCGATTGTAACTTGGGCACAAGGACAGAGGGCACAGACAGCAATTCCAAAATATCTTCAAGTGAATGGCTGAAAATCCCATGGTACCAACACCACTGATAATTACGATGCAGAAAAAACTAAAAGTTCGTAATGTCTCAAGCTGCTCTAAGTGAGGATCCATTAGCACTCAGCAGCTTTCAGTTTTTTACTTGTAGCATTCATTTTCATTACATCATGCTTCAACCAAGGTAGAACTGAATTATAATTTAGGTTTACCGAGATAAAGATGTCTATATAAAGGCACTGTCTGAGTCTAGACAGATAAAACCAGAATTCCTGTCTGGCTGCCAGGTTTGGCACTTGGACTTACACAAAGTCACCTCTGAACAATTCAGAGGAGCAAACTCTCCAAAAACATTTTGCACTCCCCCAGCTTTCTAAAATCCAATGCCAGGCTAGAGAGCTAGGGGGGTCTTCAGGACAGATGAATTTTACAATATATGAAAGTTTCACGATACCCAAGTCCTGCCCAGAGGATAATCAATACCTTGAGCTGCAATACTAAAAAGAAGGGCACAAGTAGACAAATGGGAAGAGCTCACTATAAGAAATACCAAATACTGTCTTGATATACTCAGGGTTTGGGAGTTGTCTTAGTCATGTTTATAGTTGCATGTAAAACTTTCTCTTTCAACTTTTAAGTATCACAACTGAGCACTTAATCTCTTGTGCAAGAATAGTCTCCTTAGCATTTCAACAATACTGAAACTTTTAACACCAGCATCTTCCAGAACTGAAAGGCAACCCTACCCATTTCACAAGAAGTGTTTCCCAAGAGAAAGGCTGGTAAAAATGCAAACAATGTGGACTGAGACAGACAGCTCAACATACAGTTTAAGCCTCCTAGTAAATAGGAAACTCAAGGCAGAGGAAAGGAAAGGAAGAAAAAGAGAAAGCAAGAAAAAGAAAAAGCAAGAAAAAGAGAAAGCAAGAAAAAGAGAAAGCAAGAAAAAGAGAAAGCAAGAAAAAGAGAAAGCAAGAAAAAGAGAAAGGAAAGATTGCCAGTTTATTTCTGGTCAATGCATTTAGACTAGCGTAATGTATTTGTCTGCACCAGTCCGTGTCTGCTGAAAAAAATGCAGTCTTTCATGGAAGAACAGCTTCATGCATTTACATGCTGATTCACCAGAGGCTTCTGGACATGTTTCATTTCTTTATTCAAACAACCCTCACGCCGTGGGAGCATTATGTGCACACCCTTCTGTTCCACACATGCTTTTACTATTGGGTTTTCTGTGCACTCTCATCTACATAGCACATAATGAAAAGTTGGTTTTATTGACCTTGAGCCAGAGCCAGAGATGGATTGTGCAGGAGCACCTGGCAGTTCTCACTTACTTTCAGTCACCTTTTTTCTTCAGTTTCTTTGTTCCTCTATTTTTTACTAGATCCCTTATATAACCTTTATTGACAGTTTCTTCCACAAAGGATGTTGTCACTCCTCTACGCGCACTCACACTCTTGCTTGAACTCTCAGTGTGTGTGTAAGTACATGAGAGAGCACCGGCAACAGAAAGAGAAATATTGCACAGCACAGGGTTACACCCAAGCTCTTTTCCAGAGGCACATTTTATCTAGATCACCTTGAAAGCCTTTTCTGTTGAGATAGCTATCACCTCATGCTACAAAATGGAGAAAAGCTGCAAAGTCATCTTTGACATTGTGCCGGCTGAGCCAAAACATGTCAAAAAGGAAGAGCTTTTTGTAGTTAGAAAGACATAAGAGCTTTATAGCATCTGTAGTGCAGAGGTCAAAGTAAGACATTGGAGAGCATGCGCATTGATTACAAATGCTTTCTTTTTACAACCATTTTCTTTCAGCACTAGCATGACCACTAATTTCCAGGTGCAGTCAGTAGAGCGGGCCCATGGCTCTAACCAGGCTCTCCTTTACCATACTCATCCCCGTGTGCACCCCGCAGCACATATGCCTTCTCACACTTTAGTCATCGTTCTCCAAATGCAAAGTTCCTTCTACTTCAACAAGCAGTTACACATCAAAGAGGCCAACAACTGGCTCTACAGGAGTGTGTCCTGGTCATCTACATAAGAGAGATTTATTTAATTGAAAAACAAATGTTAAAATAAAATTCCAGTCTCCTTTATATAGGAAAAAAAAATCCCTAAGCCCAAGTGAAAAAGTGAATCCCATCAACTTTAACAGAATCTGTGAACTAGGGCATCTTCAAGTGCCAGGAGACTGCAAATTACCAGAGGTTTCCGCAACCCTAAATTTGGTGCTCATTTATGATTCTGTGAAGTGAGCTAAATACATTATTTACAAAGGAAAATAAGCCGGAAAAAGAACAGCTTTTATAAATGCATAGTTCAAATATAATCAATCTTTCAATAATCTAATAGAAGTGGTGTACAAGTAACAAAATCACTCTAGAACTTCATTACAAGAGTAAGAAGTGGTTTTTTTTCTCTCAGTAGAAATTATTCTTCCCTTGTTATGTTCTTCAATGAACAAGAAAAGTATGCTGAATAGTTATCCTTATTTTTCTGCTTTGCATGTAAACACCTTCTTCTTTTGCAGAAGACACTCACATGTGAGGTAGACACTGACATGCCAGTCTTTCAGAGTACCACTGATGATACTGTTAGTGACACAGAGTGAAAAAGCAAAATGCTACAACAAACTCGATTTAAAAGAAAAAAAAAAAAGAAACAAAAACAGGAGGAAGGAGGAAGAAAATAAAAGAATGAGCAACTGAAGAAGAGGGGACTGGAAAGCAATCAGATACGTACCTCCTAATGCAGAATAAGCAGAGACAGCCAGTCACAGAACAGAAAGGTGATAGGTCATAGGCCATAAGGAAAACAAGAAGGCACATTTAAACCACTCATTAAAAAATCATAGCCAAAACCAAACCAAGAGAAACTCACAAATAATATGGAAAAATAAAGACATACAAAAAATAACTATTTGAAGAGAAATTCTTCTTTTGTGTACACAGAAAACTGGGTTCAGATATCACGCAGTTTTCTGAAATGACTTTATGGAGACATAGTTGTTATCTATCAGACACAGCATGTAAATACCATATGGCGTTTCCTTTAGTCACTGAGTTTTTATTTCTCAGGTATCAGAAATAAAACTCCGAAGTTTGAAACAAGATTGCTAATTTGGATATGTAAGATAAGAAGTAACAACCTTCAGATGTAAGGGAGTTACTTATTTTGGTTCATACATTTTTAAATCCAAATTACAGAGTTAATCCTATTACCTTCACAAAAAAGCAGACATGGAAGCAGCAAACATTCTAACGACGAACAAACACATGGCAGCAAAACTGCCCTTATAACTAACCTAATTTCAGCAGCCAACCTTCTCTATCTGGATTAAAAAATGTATGCGTTAGATCATTTCCATCATCCTCTGGAATTTTAAACGGCTCATTCTTAATACTTTCGTATAAATTCTAGAAGAATAAAAAAAAGAGGAAAAAGACCTCATTAATAAATGTCCAACAGAAAATGCAACCAGGATATCCTACTGCTTCTCAGACTATTTCTATAAAAAGCATAGGAAATACAGTCCACAAAATTCCTGAGTGTTCCTTCTCAATCTTTGTTTACTACTTTGATTAAGTTTGATTTTAAACTACTTCATCTATAAACAAGTGCCTCTTGTTTACAAAACACTCCTAGCAAATACATTTTTTCTTTAACTTCAGCATTCAGGATTTCAAAGGTTTCAGCTTCAGGTCTCATTTAGTACAAGTTTTGCCAAATTATTCTGGGTTTTCAGAAAATGGTTTAGACCATCACACTTCCTTAGAGAAATAAATATTTTTCATCTCAAAACACAGGAGGAAGCTCCACAAAACACATGGACAGAAATGAGAGGCAATAACAGAACAATGATTCTTACTATTTTCTCTGACTTATCCAGAAATACTACTTTTTTTGTAAAAAGCCAATTCCAGAAGAATTTTGCCATCAGCTAGCTACTGAGAGATATATACAGTGTGTTTTCTCTGGAATCTCCTCTCCTTAACAAAAGGTTGAATACAGGGAGAACTAGCTCAGAAGCAGCTGTGAATATCAGAAAATGCTTCTTTCAGCTACTGAAATGGTTATGTATGCTAGAAAATGTTCTTCTTACTTTCCCTTGACAAATCTGCTTGAGAAGCCTTGTACACGCTTCTAAGTTTCCTATTAAAAACACAAAGCAATGCCTTCTCTTACCCAGTCTAACTTACCCGTAGCAATTCTTCTGGAAGGTCTCCACCTTCATTAATTCCACGATTCATAGAAATAAACCTCTCTACTGTTGGTTTATCTCTTACATTGTGGTTGTGCAGACTGGTATTTAACATAATGATCGCAAATGATAGCACGTAGCATGTATCTGAAATAAGATTTGAAAAAATATTTCTCTGTGCTGTGGCAGAAACCTATAAAGTGAATATATAACTCATCCGGACTGACAAAGAAAAAGAAACAGGTAGTAAAAAAAATCCTGAACACTATATATATTTTTCCTAGATCATGTTGGTAGATCCTATAATAGATTTGGTCAATCAGACTCCTACTCAAGGTACTTCCAAAGCTTTCTCCAAAGAGAAAGAACAGCCTCTTCAAAATAATGTTTGAACTGCATGTAAACAGACTGAAAATGACACTGACTCAATTTCTTGGCATACAGTGGCTAGTACCACTGGATAATATCAAAAGATGACAAAGGAGATCTTATCATGCCTTTTGACATGTTTATGATTATAGTAAATTCTTCCAGAATTCAAGTATAAGATCCTATGTAAGAAAAAACAGGATGGAAACCTCTCTGCTGCACAGAGGAAAAACATGTTTGCATCTTCAGCAGTTTTTCAGCAAGTATCTTCCTCTCTAGCTGTTGCAGATCTGCTCTACATTAACCATTTCCTAGCCTACTGTTACTCAAACTAAGTAATCAACAGCAAGCTATGTGTGTATATAGCTAAACAGACCAACAATGCCAGAATGCTAGGGCGTTCTGTGCAGTATCACAACGTTTTTTTAGCTTTTATAACTTGAGTAATTCTAAACCAAGTACTTCGATGGAAAACTGAGATGCATTTCTAACTGAGATAAATTATTGCTGAACAGACTGCTAAAGAGAAAGGATACAGTCCTCATAATAAAAATGGATTACTTTCTAGATAATACAATATAGCCACATATAGGTGGACTTGATACAGAGATAATCAGGTGTAAAGTCCTTATAACTGACACATGCGACTACTGACGGATGAGACTATTGGTCCCTTCTGCCTTTAAGCCCCTGAGAATCTTACTTTTCCAATTTCTACCCAAAATCTTTGGTGGCATTTCTGAAGTGTATTTTCTTCTTTAATTGGCTTAGATATATATTAACGCTGAAGTTTTACAAATGGAAATGCATTCTGACCATAAGCTTGCACCTCCTGGAAACAAAGTGTAGGTATTAGACTGCTGCGTTTTCTCAGTTCTCAGAAATTTCTCATTTCACGTATTTTATCCTGCCTTTTCAAACTGGCCATCGTCTCCTTGCATCAGATGTAGAACATATACGATCCAAATATATATATATATACTTAAGAACTCCTATTGTTTGCTGTGACTCACCTGTAGACTGGAAGACTCCTGGGTTACAAAGGCAATAGCGTGAAGCAAAAGCTTCCATCATACGATCAATTTTTTGAGCCTCTCCTGGGAGTCTGAAGCTCCACAGAAACTGCCTACAGAAGGGAAGAATGCTGGTTAGACTCATTCCAATATTTATATTTTAAGAATATATTACTAATAATCAGGAAAAAAATCAGCAATGTCTATATAAAATGTCCTAGAAATATGTGCTCAGTCTTCCAACACACAAGTCAGGAGCTATTATAAAGCAACATGCACAGATGGCTAGCCCAGTAATTCAGCCAGCAACACTGCATGCTATCAGGCAAGATAATATGGCAGTTCATATTCTGAGACTCTCTCTTTTCCAGACTAGTAAACAATTTTCTGTATGCATCCCATTTTTGCCATGAGAATGCTACCGGGAAACAATCCATTCAATCCTCCCTGGGTTTCCTGGCTACTAAAAGCAATAAACACTCAGCGAGAGTTTACTTACAATACAAAAAGACACATTACATGAAATATTTCTGGTAGGGGAGAGAAGCAAGGAATACGAAAACACTTAACATCTTTACCTGAACTCCTCAAACATTTAAAAAATATTAACAAGAAAAACTCCAGTGCTTAGAGAGGTGCTGCCTGTCTAGTGTAAGTTCACCCTACAAGAATCAGATTCAGATCTTAAAAATAAAACATATCATGATATCACTTCGGTAATTTTTTAACATTAGATTAGGAGATCTGTGCTCCTGTTTAGCAGCATGAACTGAAGTAAGAGCTTTTACATTCCTAATTTACTATTTCTACATATAGGTACACTGGAATGCATACAGCACACAAGTCTTCACAAATTTACTTTTGGCACACTGCGGCACTAAAAAAGCTCCAATTAATTTAATCACTTATTCTTTTTTTTTTCTTAGCAAAAGAATTATCTAAATTAAAACAGGATCTAAACCAGCAAAGTTACATGCTCTGCCATGCAAAGCAAGTTCTCAATACTCCCTGTGTGCTGGGGTGCCAATATAATAACCATTTATTCCTGTCTTCATCAGTTTTCATTTCAGGACATTATATTAAACTGTCACAGGCCATCTTTAGTTTGTCAGCTCTACATACTGTCTTTTACTCACCTCATGCAACGTTCCAACCCAGATCACGAATTTTGTAAGCTACCAAAATACAAACATTTAATAGTAGCAGCTGCTAAGGAAGAATAAAGTCAAACCTAACGTTAGATTGGGTAACAGAGCTAGGAATATGAAGCCTCCCAGACAAGCTTCAGCAGCCAGAGAGAAGGCTTCGTTAGCTCAAGCCTCAGGCAGCTCAAATTATCATCACCACATCACTCAACCATAGCAAAGCCATTCTGACTCCGCATCACAAGGCACTGCACCAGAGACAAAGATCACATGGACATTTCAATTTGTCTGGTGTCAGGAGGGAGTCCCTTGTGGCAACAAAACTGGCAGAATGGTTGAAATCAACTTAATTTGCTAGAGCTATTACGGATTTCCACCAAGATGAGAAGGGACTTCACAAGGTCACTATATGCTGGCATCCCAGAGAAATTGAGTAAACTGTTCACTCAGCAAGGGAAAAAAGTACACTAAGATATTACACTTTCTTTCATATGACAAGTGGGAAACGCTGAGGAAAACAGAAGGAAATTACGTGAGTCAAAGTTTACCTCCGTGTAATTTAACATAATCACTGATCAGGGCCAGCGGGAATCCCCCCTCCCTGCCCAGAAGAATAAGTTGAGGTGGAAGGAAAGAAGAAGAAGACGGCAGCAAAGATAATTATTTATTTGCTTGGGTTAGGTGTTTGTTTGGTTTTTACCTATCTCTGTGCTAAGATATAAAACAGATCTTCAAATATCCATGTGTGACAGGGACACCAAAGAGTTACGGCTATGTTTTAGTTGTATTTCTCTGAAATAATTAAAAGTTTTCACCTTCAAAGGCAGCGCACACACAAGCAATTGGAAGGGTTAAAACAGAGCTGTCTCTGCTAACTTGCACGCTAGTACATATAATCCTGCTGAGCTGTAGATCAGCTTCCTGACGAATAAATCAACACAGTGACCCATATGAATGTGCAATTTGATAAAGGAAGCTCAGATCAAAAAAAGGAAATAATTTACTCACCTTAAGGCTTGTACAAGATTGAGATCAGCGAACTCATGGAGTTCAACAAAAGCCTGAAGAACTTTAATATTAAATTCATCTCTATGAAAGACAAAAATGGAAATAGACAATTAGAATTCTGAACTTTAAAGGCTTGTTAGCTATCTCTATTTGCTTCCAAGATTAGGCAAGGAAATAAATGATCATACTGATCAAATCAAGTCATCAGAAATTGTCTATGCATTTATTTGAGAAGTATTTTAATATTTAATACTAGTATTTTGCCAATTTTTGCTGGTAGGTTAGCAAGAGCCAGTTCACTTGAACTGATTCCAGCACGGCTTACTTAAATGACCTGAAGACTGCCTGGCTTTCTTTGCTTCCCATTTATCATTACTGCACCTGCCTTGATATGGGATGATACCTTATAAATCTATCCAGTAAAATGTCTTTTGCAGAAATTGTGTCATGAACTCTTACAACGGTTAATATAAGATTACTTTCTTTAGCCATACAACACAAGAAAAACAAACTATCCTGGTTTTTCCACCAGGAATAGCAAATATGAAAGCAGGATATTAATTTATGTACAAAGATGAGGAACAGCAATGCTTGAACTGATTGTACTTAAGAAAAAGAAGAGCTTTTTAAAAGAGATACTTAGTACATGCTATATTCTTACTTCATTCTCAAAATTCTCATTACAATGAAAGTTTACTAAAATCAGAACAGGGTTTGAATAGGCTTCCTCTCACCTGTCTTTTATATTGCTACGTAAATCATGAGCCAAACCATGCTCATGGTGTTTAAATGCAAAAGTAACATTTAAACATTAAAGAACACAAAACTATTTGGATGCAGACAGAATTCAGTCTATACCATCACTGAGTTCATGTGCCAGAAGGTTTATAATCCTCAGGGTGTGCTTTAAATACATCACCAAGACAGAATGCTGCATATCAGCCTCCACCCGAAAATAGAAAGGTGTGCACC